CCAGGTGGCATCATTGATGACGTCAAGTGTGACAGCGGTAGTGAGGTTGGCCCAGGATAGGACATTGTTTCGTTCCGACTCGATGGCACCTGACAACAACAACATGCAAAAAATATAATAACAAGTACCAATGCAGTTTTATGTAATTATAAGGAGAAAACACTGGAACCATCACTGAATTATAAACTATTGTTACCTGGTTGTAGTACTATTTTCTAATATATTTCTCTTTAGGGTTAAAAAAATTAGTAAGAATTACAAGGCTGGTAACATTATGTGTTTCTTTAACCTCATGCCCACATTTTGTATAATTTTAATTGCTTTCCTGTTGTAAAAGATGAAGATAAGAGTTTTTCACACTTGCTCCACTAATGTCTTTATTTTATCCCCGATTTTCATTGATTAAACTAATATTTTTACACTGACCAAGAAAGAAAAAAGGAAGGAAGGGAGGGAAGGAGGGAGGGAGGGAGGGAGGCAGGAAGGAAGGAAGGAAGGAAGGAAGGAAGGGAGAAAAATGTGGCAACAATGGGATGGTGGCATATAAAGCCCTGACAGAAACAAATTACCAATGAAGAGTTAAATATTCAGAAAAATTATCCCTCAAATATGATGACAAAATATATGCTGCTTCCAGATAAACAGAAATTAAGGGCGTTTGTTAAAAACTGACCAACCTTAAGAAATGCTAAAGGGAGTTCTTAGGACAATCAACAGTAGTTGACAACCCAACAAACAGGGGAGTGCAGGGAAGCCATGCTGCATGATACTACTTTCTGTCTGAAAATGTATTTCATGTTGCTCACTGTTTCTTACCACATTGTGACTTGTCTCATTTTTCTTTTGCATGCTGGAGGAATGGACAATAGCATTGCTTCTGGGACTGTCCTTATGCATTCCGGGGGCCTTCAACGCTGTGCCTTTTCCTGAACAGCCTCCTCATATCCTGGGTCGTGTGGATGAATTTAACGACTCTGACCTAATGGTGATCTATACACCAGTCACGGACAGAACTCAGAGCATAATGGATAAGATAGCTTTGGTTACTTTTATGAAAGGTATGTTGTCCAGTGATCTATATTTCATTGCTATGAGACCTCTGCCGGTTTATATTGAAGTTTACTTTGTGTATTTGGTTTATTCACCCAGACTAAGAGTCAGTATGTATTATTCAAAGCACAATGGTTAAGTGCTCAGCTGCTAATTGAAAGGTCGGCAGTTCGAACCCACCAACCACTCTGAGGGAGAAAGATCTTTCACTTTGCACCCATGACATTTTGCAGACTTGGGAGCCCTATGGGGGCATTTCTACTCTGTTCGAGAAGGCCATTCTGAGTTGGAATCCATGGAAATAGGTTATTTAAGGGTCAGCAGTTGCCAACAAGGAGCTGTGGTAGTGTAGTGGTTACAAATCGGGCTGCTAACCTCAAGGTTGGCAGTTCGAAACTACCAGCTGTTCCATGGGAGAAAGATGGGGCTTTCTGTTCCAGTGAAGATTTACAGCCTTGGAAACCCTGTACAGGGTCACCATGAGTCAGAACCGACTCCACGGTACTTAACAACAACAAGTTGCCAACAGGAAAAAGAACCCTCATTTTATTAATGCAGGGTTTGGAGTGGGGCATTTGGCATGTATATTGGAGCCCTGGTGGTGCAGGGATTAAGCATTCAACTGCTCACTAAAAGGTTATGTATGCATTGTAGCTTTGGCGCGTAGTTGGATGAGAAGTAAAGTAGGTTTATGAGTCGGCACCCACCTGTAACTGAGTAGCCATTCACAGGAACTTGTCTCCCTGCCTGCTCAGTACAAGCTATTAGTGTCGTGTGTTCCTTACAGTCCCATGGACTAGTGAACTCTTTTTAATATAAAATACTCAAGTCCAAGTTTGACACAAGCCTACTCAATCATAACTCCTCTCTCACTGTCTTCTGCTTCTTCCTGACTCCTGCCATTCAGCCTAAGGATCATGTTGGGATCCTGACAGTATTTGTTTGTCTCTAGAGGAAATCATAGACAATTCACAGCCTTACTCTGTGAAACCAGCAGCTACTTCACTGTAATGTTGTTGTTGTTGTCAAGTGCCTTCGAGTCGGTTCCGACCCATAGCGACCCTGTACAGGGTTTCCGAGTGTAATGTAGACATCATTAAATTCTGTTGTTGCTCTTAGGTGCCATTGAGTGAGTATTATGCACAACAGAATGAAACCCTGACGGGTTCTGGGTCAACCTCACACTCATTGTTATGCCTGAGTACACTGCTGCTGCCATTGCACCAATCCTTCTCATTGTGGATCTTCTTCTCTATCTCCTGCCCTCCGTCAGGGATTGGTCGCTCCTGATCATATGTCCAAAGTGTGAATGTCAGAGTCTGACCACCTGGGCTTCCAAAGAACATTCTAGTCTGTCCTGACAATAAGTCTGAAGTATGAGAGATGAAGTCAGCCATCCTGGCCTCCAAGGAGCAATCTGGTTGTACATTTTCCAACACAGACCTGTTTGTTCTTTAGGCAGCCCATGGCACTTTCAATATTCTCTTCCAACACCATAACTTAAAGGCATCAATTCTTCTACGGTCTTCCTTATTCACTGTCTAGCTTTTGCATGCATGTGAGGTTATTGAAAATACCATGGCTTACGTCAGGCGCACCTTAGTCCTCAAGCTGACATCTTTGCTCTTCAACACTTTAAAGAGCTCTTGTGCAGCAGATTTGCTTCATTGGCCTAATTGTTGTTGTTAGGTGATGTCAAGTTAGTCCCAAGTCAGAAAACCTATGCACAGCAGAATGAAACACTGCCTTGTCCTGCACCATCTTCAATGTTGTTTGAGCCCATTATTGCTTCCATTTATTCATTGACCCTCCACTTTACCATATATAATGTTCTTCTACAGGGACCGTTCCTTCCTGACAGCATGCCAAATGTACAAGTGATTCAGTTTTCCAATCATCACTTTTAAGAAGCTATCTGGCTCTATTTCTCCTACAACAGATTTGTACATTTGACAGGCAGTCCATGGTACTTTCAGTATTCTTTGCTAACACCTCATGCAACTCATCATTTGATTTCTTGACTGTTGATTCCAAGAATGTTGATTATGGTCCAAGCAAAATAAAGTCTTTGACAACTTTAATCTTTTCCTTGTTTATCATGATGGTATTAATTGGTTATGAGGATTTTCATTTTCTTTACATTGAGGTGCAATCCATACTGAAGGCTGCAGGCTTTACTCTTCATTGCTGAGTTCTTTAAGTGCTCTTTACTGCTAGCAAGCAAGGTTGTGTTATGTGCATATCACAGTTCGTTATTGAGTGTTTCTCCAATTCTGGTACCAGGTTCTTCTTCAAATAATGCAGGTTCTCAGATTATTTGCTCAGCATACAGACTGAATAAATATGGTGAAAGGATAAATATGGTGAAAGGATACAACCCTGATGCACACCTTTCCTAATCCTAAACCATCCAGCAGTCTCAAAGTACTTGACATAGACGAGTGAGCATCTCAAATGCTGCATCAGTTAGTTGAAATAATTCCATTGGTATTCTGCCAATTTCCGGAGTGTTGATTTTCACCAATGCCGTCAGTACACCTTGAACTTCTTCCTCTAGTACCATGAGCTCTTGATCATATGCTACCTTTTGAAATGGTTGAACACTGACCAATTCTTTTTGACACCATGATTCTGTGTGTTTGTTCCATCTTCTTTTTTTTTTTTTTTTTTTTTTTTTTTTTTTTAATTT